TTTTTTGTGGGCTGACACAAAACGGCTAGCTCCGGAATGAGTTGGCAACAAAATGGAGGGAAAACAAAGAGAGGAACAAGACAAAACTGCGAATTTGGCCCAAGGTTTGGGCCAGGTACATCAAAAAAATTGAAAATTTGAGCAAAAGACTCAAATTTGGAGCAAGGGGGGGCTTGGAGTAACTCGGAATAATGAGAACCATAGATCTCAGCCAAATCCAAGGCTGAGATCTGTGCCACCACTTGGGAAAATGCAACGGCCTACCCAAAGGAGGCCTGGACCAAGAAAAAGGCGAAAAATAGGCCTTGAGGCCCTCAATTTTCAGTAAAGGTTGCATTTTGGGAAAGGGTACCCCAAAAGGCAGCACTTTTTGAGGCAAAAAGAGGCCGGGGTAGGCCAAGGGGTAGTCCGAGAGGGTACCAGCCTCTCGGACTGCGTGTACCTAACCAAAATGAGGCCCAAGTAACCCCAGAGAGGCCAAAACCGGAAATTTGGCCCTTGGGGTACCTCGCTCCACCTAGGGGCACTTGAATGGGGCCTAGAGGTTGGGCGGTGCACCTGTTCCAGCCTATATAAGTTGGAGGTGTAGGCCGCAACTCTCATTTGAGCATGAGAGGTGCACATGCTGCCCAAATGAGTCCAGGAAAGAGTCCGTGAGGGAGAGAAGCAAGGGAGTGAGGGCCGAAGCTAGCCTGTAGCCTGGCTATGGTGGTAAGGCTGAGTAAGGTGACCCAAAGGCTAGGAGGGAGCAAGGAGAGTGGTCCGCCATAGCCCTCAGGCTGTGAAGTAGGAGGAGCGGCTGAAAGGGGTCCCCATAGCCCTTCTAGACAGGAGGACTCCATAACCTTAGAAGTAGAAAAGGAAAGGTGTGAAGGGAGGACGAGAAAGCTTGGGAGGGAGGAAAAGCCATACCCAGGAGGCTAGAACCAAGCATTGGGACTCCACTACCTAAAGACCAGCCAGAGGTGAGTGAAAGAGGAGGGAGACCTCCTCCTTCTTCTTCTTCTTCTTCCTCTTCTTCTGCTTCCTTTCCTTCTTCTTCTTCTTCTTCTTCTTCTTCTTCTTCCTCTCCTTCTTCCTTTTCTTTTTCTCCCCCTTCTCCCCCTCACCCTCTTGTCAAAACTGCGATTTTCACTGATTTGGGTACTTGGGTAAGTTGCGATTCACCTTGTGATCATTCGGTCATGTTTCCCCTTAATAAATTGCTTCAAAGCTTGTGTTTTCACTCATTTGGGTGCTTGGGTAAGTTGCGATTCACCTTGTGATAGTTCGGTGATGTTTTCTCTTCATAGATTGCTTCAAAGCTTGTGTTTTCACTGATTTGGGGGCTTGGGTAAGTTGCGATTCACCTTGTGATAGTTCGGTGATGTTTCCTCTTCATAGATTGCTTCAAAGCTTGTGTTTTCACTGATTTGGGTGCTTGGGTAAGTTGCGATTCACCTTGTGATAGTTCGGTGATGTTTCCTCTTCATAGATTGCTTCAAAGCTTGTGTTTTCACTGATTTGGGGGCTTGGGTAAG